ACATTTTTCACAAAAAAAAGTTCTCTCTGATACTGTCGATACAATGTATGGAGTGCCGCAAGGCGCGAGTACTGGGGCCTCTATTATTCCTATTGTATATTAAAGACGTAGTTAATGTAATTAACGATAGCACAATCGAATTATTCGCAGATGATACAATGTTATATACAGGGTTTTTCACTTAAAACTCCGCACGCCAATAACTCCAAAACGAAAAGAAATATTTAATTTATGTAAAAAGTAGTCAAAGTGTGGGGTCAAGTAGATATTTCCTAAAGTTTAAAAAATTCGACGCCTGCAAAGAGCTGGGCGTCGCGACGCGTCGAAAAATTATTCGATTGCAGAGACTTTGGAAATACGCGCATACAAAAGTACATATTATTTAAAAACTTTTTTGTTATTTACTCAAACTTATTTACTTTACCCGTTTCTAAGTTATACCGATTTAAAGTAAACATTTCTTGATTAATAAAAAATGTGATTAACGCTTATTTTTACAAGTATGCCATGAATGTTAGTTACTATGGCAACCATTGTTATCGCAGTTGTTTTAAGTGCAATTACAAACAATAGATTTCAACTATTTTAGTATGATTTTATTTATTATTTTTTATCGATTTAGTTCTGATAACATGATAAATAAATTAAAAAACAGTAAAATACCTACAATTTAATAACCAAAATTATTATTGCAATTAACTACGTAATAAGAAATTTCAAAAATTTTGTTCAAAATTATGCTCTACTCGAACACAACTATCAAAAACTTTTAACAGATGAGCTTGGGTCACTTGTAGGAGAGTCCTTCTTGTGATAGCGGCACACGCTGCACTAATTTTGTTAATGAGATCAGCCATATCTTCGATAGGTTCATAGATAACGTTTTTTAGGTAGCCCCAAAGAAAATAATCTGGTGGTGTAATGTCCGGGGACCTCGCCGGCCACCTTACCGGTCCATTAGTACCAAACCATCTATTGGGATATTCTCGGTTCAAATACCTCGTTACTATTTGCGCATTATGTGCAGGCGCTCCATCCTGCTGTAGCCACATATTCATTCTAGTGTCAAGAGGCACTTCTTCTAATAGTTCCGGAAGTGTAGTTTGAAGAAATCTTAAATAGCGATCTGCATTTAAAGTTCCTTCGTAAAAGTAAGGTCCAATAAGGAATCCATTTAATATGCCGCACCAAACATTGATACTAAAAATTCGTTGGTTACCTCTTTCTGTAATCCAACGAGGATGTTTTTCGGACCAAAAACGACAGTTGTGTCTATTAACGATTCCATTATTTTGAAATCGACTTTCGTCGCTCCATAAAATTTTCGAGAGAAAATTTGCATCTTGGCTATACAAATCGGACAATGTCGCTAAGAAATACATTCTTCTAGCATAATCGCCTGGTTCTAGTTTATGAACTTTACTTTTGTACGGGTGAAAAGAGTTTCTATGTAGAATTCTCTATGAAGAACTTATGGTAACACCAGTATTTTCTTTTATCTCTGATAGGGATATCTTGGGGTTATTATCAACCTGCTGAATTACAGCAGCAGTATTTTCATCATTTGTAGCCGTCCTGTTCCTATCTCTTTTAGGTTTTATGAAGCTGCCATATTCTCTTAAGTTTTTACATAAACTTGAAAAGGTTTTTGCATCGGGGTCTCTTCTATGCGGATAACGCCGTGCGTAAACTCTTTTTGCTTCTCTACAATTGCATCTGCATTCTCCAAACACCAGTAACATGTCTACTTTTTCCTCATTGCTAAATTGCACCATTTTCACATAATAATTCTTAGTTTTTTTTAAACCGAACAAATTTCGATATTTCTTGTGACAAATTGTGACAATTTTTTGATACAGCAATAACAACTTACGTTTGTAATTGCACTTAAAACAACTGCGATAACAATGGTTGCCATAGTAACTAACATTCATGGGATACTTGTTAATCACATTTTTTATTAATCAAGAAATGTTTACTTTAAATCGCTATAACTTAGAAACGGGTAAAGTAAATAAGTTTGAGTAAATAAAAAAAAAGTTTTTAAATAATATGTACTTTTGTATGCGCGTATTTTCAAAGTCTCTGCAATCGAATAATTTTTCGACGCGTCGCGACGCCCAGCTCTTTGCAGGCGTCGAATTTTTTAAACTTTAGGAAATATCTACTTGACCCCACACTTTGACTACTTTTTACATAAATTAAATATTTCTTTTCGTTTTGGACTTATTGGCGTGCGGAGTGAAAAACCCTGTATAGTTGATAGTTACATAGATAAGATGAGCCGAATATATGAACGGTTATGTAAACACAAACTTAATATTAACACGTCAAAGTCTAAATTTTGTATTTTTTGGAAAAAACAAAACTTGAGTACTGTTAATATAGAAAACATAAAAATTGAAATAAATAATGACATTCCAGCACACGAAAATAAAATTCAGTACCTTGGAGTCATGTTAAACTCAGAACTAAACCTACGGCCGCATGCTGATTGCGTAACGAGAAAATTTTAACAAAAAGTATGATTTATATGTAGAATAGGCCATAGTCTTTCCATGTACACCAAATACCTTTTATATAGAGCATTAACATCTATCTTCAAGTGTAACAGATACACTCTCGTGAAACTAATATCAAATGTTGTTAATGTAATGACGGTTAAACAAGGAATTATTTATGATGAAAATATTTTTATGTATAAGTTAAGAAATAAAGTATTACCTGATTACATCTGTGATAAAGTAAAATATTGTGATAATTTCAATAACTTTAAAACTATCTTGAGAGAAAATGTGATGCCTAGATTTTAAGTATAAATCACTGTTTCATCTTAATTTTGCCTATATGTTGATTTCTGGTTATAGCTATGTTTATTGTTTTTGTATGTAGCATTCCATGTTAATAAAGAAATATTATAATAATAATTATTATTATTATTTAACCGGTGCGGTGAAGACTTAATTAACCAAAAAGTCAGTGACAGGCCACTGATTTCCTTAAGAAAATAATAACAACATTTGTGATAATTTCTCTGAGGTTTTTATTTTTTTAAGCCAGAACAGTGCATCGGATTAAAAAAAATCAAGAAATTAAATTTCGCTTCGGCCTTACGAATGCCCTATTTGTCCTAGTCATCTAAAGGTAAGTTCTGTTTCAAGTAAAGTCTTAATAAATTCATTTTAAAATAGTCTTAAATGGACCAAAATACGTTGAATTTGTTTGGAAAAAAAGTAATTACCTTCTGAAGATACTCCAAACCCGAACCGTCACCACTCAAAGACTAAAATGGAACCGGGATGAATTTCGGCATTTATAACGTCGGGTCCGAACTATTGTTATAAATAATTTTATTAGCCTGTCTCTCTTCCGGCATTTATCTTAATGTACTTAGTGGGTATTGAAAATACATACCTGCATTGTCGTCTAGAAGGACTACCTGCAGATACACACAAAAATTCCGTCCGCTGAGTCGATGTTTATTGATAACGATGGGGAATTATAGGGGTAGGTATTTCCTGGTTGGCAGTTGTAAAATCAAAATCGCCCTTTCGGAGTTAAAAATTTGCTGTTGTGGTCTTCGGGGTACCATTTACATTTATTTCAACGAAATTGTTTCTTTAATATACAATACATAAAGTTGTGAAGATTCTTAGGATGCGCAATCGTTTTAAAGTATACAGGGTGGCGAAAGAAATCTCCATGAATAAAACATACATTTTTTAAAATTTTGTGAAGAATTCGGTCTAAAACTGTTAAATTTCTTCATTAATAATAACACACATAACTAAACCTATCCGTTTTTCTAACATTTTAATTTTTCTAAAAAAATACTATATAATAATAATAATAAATAGCCTTTATTTTTTTTTAGATATGGTCTGTTCGTAGATATAAGAAAGTAACCAATTGCTGTCATTAACATACAATCCAACAAGATTATTACCTAAAGTTTCGGAATTTAAATTCAGGAAAAATTGTGGTCCGTAATAGAAAATAATTTTACGCCTATTCTTTGGTTTGGTATGCTCCTTAGTTTAAGTTTATTAGTAATTGAACGTGGCGCCAGCAAGCAAGCTTCTTTAGAAGAAACGGCCACATTGACGAAGATTCTGTTAAACATATAGAAAAAGCAGAACAATAGTATTGCAAATAATATAGAACAAATAATAATTAGAACAGGCGATGATAGCGATAGTGATACTGATATATTGTGTGAATAATTTTAAGTAATAAAAATAATTTATAATTTTATTTTTTGAAATATAAATACATACATAACTAAATATTGTTTAGTATCTTTCCTAACAAAACCCCAAATAATAAAATTCTATGTAAAGTAAGGAGCTGTTCTGCCAAATTTCATTCTTACAGCTTGCCCGGGTCTTTCCTTAATTCGTATCAGTTAGTCACTTTGTTATATCTATGAACAGACTATAACTCACCAGCGGCGCAGTCTATAGAGCATTTGTGGTACCAAATAAATTCAAACATCAGAGCAGAAAATGATAATTAGTAACATGCTATTGAGAGGTGGAAAATTTCAGTACAGCACATTATAACTAAATGTAAATTTGCATACATATTCTTAGCTGTGAATTTATTATATATATTCTGTCATTGTTTTTTCCAAGTGTAATTTAACCTAAACAAGCAAAAAAAATATTATTACCACAACTTTTGAGAGTTCCGTTCTTTAGTACCCATCGGACCCGAGTTTCATTGCCGTTGGGGTGTAACTTCCATAATGGCGGCCAAAAGCCAACACGATGAAGATTCTTAATCTTCATAATTTGATTTATTCATAATGAGAACATGGACGCCAAAAATTACTTGAAAGTACTGTCAATTTTTAGCCAGTTTAGTTCCTGGATTTCGTGGGAAATTCCAACGCCAAGGCTTTTCAATTTTCAAACGTTCACCGATAATTAATAAATGCATTTGGGATGCTTGTTCATTGTTAGGCTTAGGAGAAAAGAACATTACATTGCATTTTTTAGCATTAAGTTGAAGATTATGCCTAGAAGAGTATAGAAATAAGTTATGCAAATTCAAATTGATATAAATTGAAGCTATATCAAATAATTTAGGATCGAAGTAGTAAAATGGCTGAGTGTCATCAGCAAATGAATGCGAACTCAAATATTCGATGGACGTATAAATATCGGAAATATAAATTAAGAATAATACAGGTCCAAGGACAGAACCTTGCGGTATACCTGATGAAACAGGGAGAAATTCAGAACTCACATTGTCGAGGGCTGTTAGCAAAGCAGTTTTCAAAAAATCAAGCCGATCAAAGCCTTTAGAATAATCTAAATGAATGAACTGTTTCCATAACGACAACCGTCCAAACAATAAGCTATCGAAAAATTCCCTGTCATGTGCACGCGAGCCAAACGTCGGAGGTTAGAAGACAACTCCCTCCAACTCCCCGACGAATTGCTGGTACTCATATTCGCGAGGCTTGACCATACGGAACTGTACCAAAACGTGAGGCTCGTCTGCAAACGTTGGTTCCTTCTAGCTTCGACCCCGACCTTATGGACCAGGATCGCAGCTGATCCAGCAACTCCCACGGGAACCGTGTGCCGATGGATCAGGACGTCCCGTTTACTGAACCAGGTGCGATTCCGAGGCAGGAACGACGCCAACGCCCTTGTCGACCATGCAGCGAGGTATTCCTCGAACTTGAGGCTAATAGACGTCAAAAACTGTTGGGGAACAGCCTCTTCTGACGTCATAAGAGGGAGGGGCCTGTGCCGCTTACTGGAACGGTGCCCGAAACTAGAAAGGATGACGTTCGAAGGCGTGAAGATCAAATCGTGTAAATTTTTCCGACTGATCGGAGCCAGGCCAGCCACCAACCGTAGGTAAATCTTTTGATCCTTCAACGGGTTATTTCCAAAGGGACATGTTCCAAACGTCTTAATTTTTGAGTTATAGGGGTGGTAAAATTTTCAAAAATAAAATATGTCTTTGTAATACCTGTAATACCGCTTCAGATATTTTAATGAAGTAATTTTGAAAAGCCATTAAACTAAAAATTAAAAAAATATATTCTTATTATCTCCAATCATTTCCAAAGAAGTTTGATATCTTGATTTTTTTCAATGCGTTAATATGACAGCGTCCAGAGAATAATCATTGTTATTTCTTAGTATTTGATTTATTAAAATACTTCAAAAAGTCGAAGTACGGATGCGAAGTGCCTAAAATCCGAGTTGTATTTTTGAAATCTTATTTTTTTTTCTTAAAACACCCAGTATAGACCATAACAACCCTACATTGGGTGGTTGAGTGTAACAGCAGTGCAACTTTTATATTAAACTTTTTTTTTCTAAAATCTGAAACAAGAATAATGGATCACCCTGTACACAATGCAAAAATCCGAATCTCTTGCTTCTTCTCATTCAAGAGAGAAATGATTTTTCTCTTGAAACCTTGCAAATGTGGTTCTCCAATTTTTAAAACTCATTCACTTGTACCCTGCAACTTTTATATTAAACTTTTTTTCAAAAATCTGATGGAGAAAAGCTAGATGGGTGGACATTTTTAATGAATCACCCTGTACAATATGCAAAAATCCGAATCTACTGCTTCCTCTCGTTCAAGAAAGATACGATGTGTTTCTTGGACCTGTGCACATGTGGTTTTTCAATTTTCATAACCACTTCCCAACCACGCAACCCCCCCTCCCCCCTCAAATTTCAATACCTGCCACTCGAATATTTGGGTTTTTCAACTCTTTGATTGTAATTTGTAAAAAATTTGGCCACAGGGCGACGGAAACCGACTCAGGCTACCGATTCAGTTACGACGGCCCAATGAGCGGCAAACAGCTGACTTTTCTGGTAGATGCGGTGTTGTCAAATCGACGCCCGTTTGTTCTGATGTTGGACGGCAACAACGGCCGGAAAGTGACGATGGACAACGAACGCTCCGAAGTGACGTTCGAGTGCGGCGCGCGTATTTGAGCGTCCCTGTATCGTGTTGTGGTCGGTTGTAAAATATACGGAGTGTTGTCGAATTCGTGTTTTATAATTTGGGGGGGGGGGGGGCGAATCTCGGGGTCAAAAGCATATAAATAATTACTAAATGAAATAGAGAAAGGCCAGAATTAAATAAGAAAATAATAATAATAATAATAATAAGTGAAGAAAAAGTAAAATGAATGAACAAAAAAAAAGAAAAAACTAAATTTTGATAGAATTTATAAAAATTTCTTGAGTGAAAATTTTCAATAAAAATTTAAACTTTCTCAGAGCAACGTAAGTATTAAAAAAAATAAAAATGTAAATTTTTGAGAAAATTTACGACGGTCCAGCAGAGTATTCTCAAACAGAGGCTTTTTATTTAAAAATTTGCTTTCCCCTTCAAGTTGCGAAATATAGGTAAAAAACAGGTAGTATCGATAAATTGTCAATTATTTATCGATATTTTTGTAACATTATTTTGGAATTAGATTTCAGGCTCTCAAACACCCACCAATGTAAAATCTTGTACATTGTAAAAATAACCTAAGATTTTCATTTCGATTGAGGGAGTGGGGGAAAGTTTGAGGTATCTGCTAATAGGCGCTATTGACATTTACCTTTAGTATAAATTTTAACTTTCCCGGAACCAAAAAAAAAACTACCTAGAGTAAAACTATAAGTAGAAAATGGGGTTTATCGATAACTTATCGATAGTTAAAGAAAATTACGTGGAATTCGAATTGCCGCTGTTGACATCTACTTAACTGCCTAGAGTAAAAATATAAATAGAAAATGGGCTTTATCGATAACTTATCGATAGTTAAAGGAAATACCTAAATTACTAACCTCAATGTCAGTGTCCCTGTTTCTGAGCAATGTGGACAAAGTTGTTGTCAGTAACTTCTTGTGTAGTTATCATGGTGAAATTGGATCCAAAATTCACATAATTTTCTATTTTTTTTTAATATTGGCGGATTAGAGTTTAAAGAAATCAAAATCAACCGAGACGCGCTACTGCACATGATGTTAATCTCGGACTTCGGAAAATATTAATAAAAAGGTTTTTATTTTATTTTAGGTTCAATCTTCATTTGTCAAATATTTACAAAATTAAATATAAACGCCAGAATTGAAAAAGAAAATGATAATGATAATACTAGAAGGAAAAACGAAACGAAATAAAAGGAAAAGGAGAGAAAAAATGCATATATTTCCATGTAAAGTACAACGAAATAAAAAAAAAGCAACTTTCTAGTGAGGAAAACAAAACGTGATAAAAAATTGACATTAATATATTGACACCTAAGATTATCAAATGAAAATTGCATAAGGAAAACAGCAAATCTTGGTAATTTAATTTAATGGAATGCAAAAGTTTCTCTGTGGATTTCAATAGAAATTATTGAAAGGCTTTTGAATTAAGAAAACAGTAAATTGTGAGCGTTAACAGGAGTTATATTTAAGGATTTCAAATGATTGTTGTCTCCATCAAGTATTCTTACAGCGAACACAATAATACCCTTGGTTGACTTGAGAATAGATCTAATTGACCTCTATCTTCAGTAAAAATTTCAACTTTCCCGTCGGTATGTAAAAAAAATGAAAACGTTTTTTTTTTATTTATTTACCAATATTTTCAAAAAATTATATTGTGATCAGATTCCAGATACTCAAAAATCAACCATTGTAAAACTTTTAGCAACTTTCGGAAAATAACCTCAAATTTTCATTTTGAGCAATTAAATCGAGGGACAGACCCTATTGAGTTTTGATTAAACTTTAGAGAAACAGAACATACGCCTAGAGTAGAAATATACCTAAAAAATGAGTTTTATCGATAAATTATCGATAATTTATCGATACTTTAAGAAAATCGCCACGTACGAAAAACGAAAAAAAAAAGAATTTTTCTGTGCTAAATCAGCTGAAAAACCGCGACAATTCGGCCGGTAAGTTTTAAATAGTGGCTTTTTAATAATAATAAAAATGCTAATTATATTACTAAAAGAAAAAATAAAGCGAACAAAGGCAATAAGAGGAAAAGTAAATTTTAAGCTTTACCCGGATTTATGTTTAGGAATTTAAAATTTTTGTTCCTGAGAGCTAAACCATTTGCCTCTAAAATTTTACAGGGCGCGCCAGATATTTCGTAGTAAATTTAAAAATGCATATTAAAAAAAAATCATTGGATCATTTCGGGTTCGAGAAGAAAGTGATTTTCCCGAAAACTATTTGACCGATTTGAAAAGTTCTTGTAGCGGGAAACGCCGGAGATGCATGGATATTTTTCGATAATGTACAGAGTGCGTTTTAAATGAATGAGAAACTAAAAATCTAAAAAAATTGAATTTTTCGGTGCTAAATTAAGGTTAAAACAGTGGCGTAGGGCGCGCCGGGGGCTACGATTTTCGTGTTTACGGTGTTCGGCTGTAGTGCAGACTGCGCGAGATATATGAAAAAACAAAGTTTGAAATCGATATTAAATTAACAAAAAAACTCGTAGAAAAGAGTTTTAAAAAAAAGAAAGAGGGAAAAACAACGCTCGATATTGACTCTCCCTCCGCCGTCGCCACCGCCGCCGCCCCCAAGGATCGACTTTCGATCTCGTTTCATTATTAATAAAAATTACTGCAATGTTTTGAAGGGTTGTCGTCGTTTCTATGGCGACCAACAATTTCTTTGTCCCCGGAGTGGCCTCGCGACGCCACTCGGTGCCCGGCGTCGATGCGAGAGTCCATATGTGTGTCAAGCCGAAGAAAAAGAAACCGCCGCCCTGGGGAATTGCATGGAAAACGGGGGAGTAGTCCCCCTGACGAACAGGTGAGGTGGGGGCCGTGTTATACGGGGGTTGAATATTTTAACTTGGAGGGGGGTGAGGGGTAAAGGGTAGGGCGTCGACACTCAAAATAAGTCGAAATTAAACGGCGCATGCGTTGTTATAATTACAGTATGTTCCACCAACCATAAGTAGCGAAAATTTTGAATTATACCAATGTTGGTGGAGTTAAAATATCTTCAAGATGGCGGCGCATCCGGTTATACAGAAATGGAGGCTCTTTGCGCAATCTACAGGGAGTTTTCTAATTGAACGTCAATAATTAAGGGGCCCAATTTGTTATGACCAATTAAATTTTTCTAGAAATGATTGGACCATCTAGGAATAGTTTTTATTTTAAAAGAAATAAGCGGCCTACCATCAATGTCTGCCAAAATAGACAGATGAACTTGCGTACGCCCGCCACTGGTGCATTTTTCAAAAAATGTGGTATACTAAAAACTGTTTACTTTTCTTTGAAAAATGAACCCAAAAATCGCGCCATCAATTATTTACCTTCGATTAGAAAACACCCTGTATATTGACGGATTTCGTTTTTTCAAAAATAAATCTAAAAAGGTTAAATTGACATTATTCATATACTTTTTATGACACATCTCGACTTAAATTTAATTTTTTCGATATTTCTAGTCCACTTTATAAAGTTGGGTCTTCATTATAAACAGGCTATGGCCCATATATAAGTTTTAAAGTTGTATTGAAATAAGTAGTACGTTTCCCCTTGTTAAAATCATCAATGTAGCACCAGTCAAATCGGGAACTTCTTAAGCGAGCTGGAAATTTCACGCTTTCTGAAAGTTAAAGTGGATTGCGAGATAACAAAAGATACACTCAAAAGAGACCATAACCGTACAGGGGTATTTTTATATTTCCCATACATTTATGAATAAACGTGTATATTTGATTTTTTTTTAATTGCTTCTTTCAGCCTAATAAACGAGACATATTACTTTGACATACTATTTCAACACCCTGTATATATGGAAATTTTACGGATCCATCCCCATCGGCCCGTAAATATATTTTTCTAAGTCGCAGGCCGGAATCGTCGAGATAGGCAACCAGATATACGCCGGATACCGATAAAGATGCCCTGGAATCTATTCGCTTTTAATCAACTCGTCAGTAGGTACGTGTACAGAGTGTTTCTCAATAAAATGTCGATCCTCGGATTATTTTGGGAGATCGATTTTCATAAACAGGGTGTTGAAAACTCATTTCAAAATATACTTACTTTTGCGCCGAAACTGCTTTAGGTATTTTGTTCATCAATTGAACTGAGGTGCCTTTTACTTGATGAAAATCCATTTAACAAAATAAATAAGAACTAAAAGTTCAGATTTTCACGAAATTATATTTTTTCACATGACAATTGTTTCGACAACACCTTGTCTTTATCAAATGTAATATTTACAAATTCCAACAAAGCAAGCAAAGTCATCATCCACGTATCTATACCATATCTATATCTATCTATATTTTCTAAATTATCAACAAAGGACTAAGTGGGTTTCCCATAATCAAACCTTCCTTAGGGATGTAAATCTGTCCATTAAATTCAAAATAATTTTGGTCTAAAGATGCTATTAAACAATATAATAAATCTTGTTTCAACAATGGGTTAACATGTTTCCAAGTTAGGGTGAAATCTACTAAATCTATGACATCCATAGATGGAATACTGGGAAATAAGTTTTGTACATCAAAGATAGAAGGGATTTTATCTTTAATTTTGTTGATTATTTCAAAAGAATTTTTTATTGCAAATTTTGGTTTAAAATCTGTGTGGAACTTTAAACTATTTACTAATTTTGATGAGAGTTTAACTGCTGGAGCTGTTACATAAGACACGACTGGTCTAATGGGCATATCTTGTTTATGTGATTTAACTAAAGAATATAATTTCGGCGATTGTAGTTTCATAATTGTTAAAAAATACTTGTCTTTGTCACTAAATAGTGTAAAATTAGCAATTATTTTCTTGACTTGTCTTTGATATAACTCGGTAGGATCGTCTTTGATACATTGGAAAAGTTCTGGTTTAAGAAAATTGTTGGTTTTTGAAATATATTCTTTGAGATCGATAGCTATGACTTTCTTCCCTTTATCTGGGCGTGTAAATATTATGTTATTTTGGTGGGAGTCCACAATACTCAATGTTCATGTCGATCCATTAGAGTTCTTCATAATAGTTACTTTTAGCGATTTTGAAAATGTAGTTTTTTGGTCGATGTAAATATTCGAAATGTTCTGCGCCTGCTCCGACGCCACTGGGGGAAAGAGACGAATAATTTTGACTCAAAAAAAAATTGTTACTACTACAAAATATCTAAAGCAGTTTATCATGGCCAACTTAGTTTTTGAGATACAGGGTGAAATCCAAAACCATAAGAACGTTATTATAGGATTTTTTCTGTAGAACCCAGTGGCGTAGCTATAAAGCAAACTCAAATTTTCATCACCCACTGCTGCAAATAAAATGAACTATGAAAAAAAATAAATTTTCAGCTTTATTTTCAAAACAACTTAATACTAATATATATTTCTGAAAAGTCAACGTAAAAAATAATATAGAGGGCGTTACACTTGAAAAAATATATGTTTGCTTCATAACTACGCCACTGATTCTACGGAAACAATCCTCTAAGAACGATGTTGAAACTGTTAAATAACTTAAAGGACAACGGAGATGTGAGGGTGGTCCTAAAATTGGTAATTTTTGGATTGCACCCTGTATCTCAAAAACCAAGGGAGCTAGGATAATTTTGTTGACGGCATCTTTAATTTCACAAAAAGTAGCACGGTGTCGCGTAAACCGCGGATTTATATCTTAAAAAAAAATCTTTAAGGTAGGCATCTTAACATGAAACACCCTGTATAATAGACGTTTCTGGGTCTATTTCGTGGCTAACCAAAACTAAACCAATTCGGATGGGTAGTGATGACGTCAGGGTATGATTTTGGTCTGTCAAAAATTGGGCCCAATGAAGTTGTTATTTTTCTGCTTTCGACTGTTTAAAAATAAATAAAAGCACAAATACGAAAGCAAAATTAAGAATATTTTAGGTGATTTCTGATTTTTTTCAAATTCAAATGAAAACGAATTTTTTAAATCAGATTTGCTAACCTTTAAATATTCTAGTGAATAACCCGTAGTAACGCCACTGTCGCATTACTTTCATTCACATAAGTAGTTTTTTTATTGCATCGTCTTTTCGGCGCTTGCAATACAAGAATTTTGACAAATATAATACACAAAATAACCCCGGCTAACCTAAAGCTCGAAGTAAACATATCTACGCCATTGACGTCGAGGGCCTGTCAAAATACTGTAATTTTTAAGTCGATCGATGCAACCGGAAACGTCTAAAATTGTTCATCGCGCGTTAAATTTTGTTTTACAGCACGTCAGATAGGAAAATGGCGACTCACCCTATCGATATTTACTATTTCCCGCCGAGCGCCCCGTCCCGCGCGACGCTGTTATTGATAAAAGCGCTCGGCATCGATCACAACGTTAAAATTACCAACATATCGCAGGGGGACCAAATGAAACCGGAATTCTTACAGGTAAACAATAATGACAGTGACGAAAGAACCTTTAAAAACCGCTTTTATTTCTATCGACGATTTTTCCGAGGGAATGTGAAGCTAAAAAATGCTTCGGACCTTTTCCAGTTTTTTTTTTTAATATTATGGAGGTTTGTTTTGACAGCATACTTATTTCTGGTAGCTATAAAGGCAGTTGTATAGACTAATATTTGATATGCGACTAACTTAATCTTAAACAAAATACAGAACAGCTGACCGACCTTTTTTAGGTTATCTTTGATTGTTATTACTTTCTGGAATCAAAATGTCATTATCCAACTTAAAGCCTAAATGAGCAGAATTCTTTTTTTTTCAAAAACTCAACTATTTTCGATTCTTCTAGATTCCTTCTCCTCTCAGTAGTAGATACATGAAGAGAGTTCAACAACACATAATCTCAAACGTTACAATCACCTCCATCAAAAATCAGACCAATTTTCGATTCTTCTAGATTCCTTTTTCTCTCAGTAGTAGATACATGAAGAGAGTCCAACAACACATAATCTCGAACGTTACATTCACCTCCATCAAAAATCAGACCGAAAATTGCGTCATTCTTATTACAGAAAACCAACGCACAGAAAGCGATACCTTAATGAATTGTATCATTACCATCCAGCCCAAAAATAGTCGATTATGAACTCTGAACCAACAACGGACACAGGAGAAATCCAGAAGATTTTTGAATAATATGACTAAAATGCAGAAGATTAAAAACCATTTAAAACGTTAAGCTTAGGACACAATACGACACAATACATTACATTTCACTAGAAGCAAATTAGTTCCAATGAATTATTCGACAAAAACCCTTTTTTAATAGATTTTAATAGGTTCTGTTCTAGATATAATTTATTTTCAGCGAATTTCGGTGAAATTCGAGAATTCTACCTAAATTCTTCCGAATTCGCCAGTAATTCTTAGGATATATTTGACATCTTACTGGTAATAGTAATTATGAATTCTGCGTCGCTTACATAGTCGTCTGGGCAATTATGTATCTGATTACCACAAAATTCTAGGATATCGTTTCAACGGGGCGAAACCCGGGCAGCAGATGCTTTATTCTGAAATCCTACAAGCTCCAAAAGCGTAACGGGGGTTTATTTTTGACGGGAGCAACATGGCGGCCCAATAAATCGCGAAAATGCAGTGCAAAGCGATTTTTCGAATGCACGAAATTTGCCGCTATATATTCGATTATTAATTACGTCGATAATTATATTTCCGATTAGGCACCCGATCGTGCGTGTGATTGCCTCATTTGGTAGCGATTATTATCTCGTACGCTATCGATTCGAAAATTTACATCCACAAAAGGAATTAATAATTGGATAAACAACGATGGAAACATTGAAATGCTACCAGCAGTAACTTTTATTATCTGTTATCCAATTTTCATTTCGGGGCCTTAAACCAATCATCAAAAATATATTGGCAAGTTTTTTGAAGCACCTTGTACAATGCCACTTCGTTGAATCTCCGATCTACTGTCATTTTCTCCAAAATTGTCTAATAAAACCAGTAAGGTTAAACCCTTATATTGAACTGAGGTGGCTTTTACTTGATGAAAATCCATTTAACAAAATAAATAAGAACTAAAAGTATGTAATTTCGTGAAAATCTCAACTTTTAGTTCTTATTTATTTTGAAACCCTTATATGCCTAAAGTTCATTGGAATACTTCGGAACTCCTTGGAGTCTTTGGAAATTTCTTTCAAATTCTTCGTTCGTCAGAATTCTACCGAAATCCCGAGGAATTCGTTGGCATTGTTCGCATTGTATTATACTAATAGGGAACAAAAACTACATTTACGGGCCTTCAAATTCATATGTCATAGTGTCAGTTTAAGTTAATAAATAAATATATTTTAAAGACAAAACTATCTATTTGCAAGGATGACGCATACCTTTTTTTTATCAGTTTATAATGTTTCATACAAATTATTAAATTTTTGCTTATTCATATAAATTCAATTAATATTTATTACTCTATACGTATGATCCTTTTTTTCCCATTATCTTCCAATACAACAATAACAACAAAATAAAACTTCTCAGATATATATAATATTAAAGCAAAACAGTAGTTTCCACGTTCCCTTTTTAACCTTGTGAGACCATTACAGTCCTATGTCGTATGACAACATATCGCTTAAGTTCATAATAAAAAAAAGTTATTTTAACTAAAACTAAGAATCCTAGTGGGACTCCAGGGAATTATGAAGAATTTCAGTGCAATTCCAAGGCATTTTAGTGCAATTTCAAAGAATTCGGACGATTTTCACTGGAATTTCAAGGAATTTTGAAGCATTTCAGCGCAATTCCAAGGGAGAATTTAAGCATAAAAAACGTGAAGCCACTGAACTGCTTAAAAATGAAAATTATTTTCGAGAGTTCTTCATTTTTTGAAAAATTCGCCTACTTAAAAATATGGAAATGTACACATATGCTCAATAAAAGTTATTTTTTACAGTAAATGTTGAGGAACCTACTGGTTCAGCATTTTAATTATAACCTACTTAAAGTAGTTACAGTGGTTACCAACTCTAGTCCTATTTTGTAAGTTCTGTAGATTATTAGTGACGCTTTCAGTACACTAGATCTTGGTACATTTACATATTTTTACGTAGGTGAATTGTAAAAATGAAAAAGCGAAAACATTTCGAAAAAATTGTGATTTTAAAACATATCATTTTTTGTTCTACAACTATTCAACCTCGAAACCAAAAATTTGTTTTATGCTTAAATTCCCTCAAATTCCTCTGGATTTCTTCAGACTTCCTCGAAATCCCTTAGAATGCCACTGAAATGCAACAAAATTCCTTGAAATTCCGATTACATTTTTCGGAATTCTTTTAATGTTCTTCATAATTCTTCGGAATAACCCTGAAATTCCTCAGAATTATTTTTAATTCCTCTGAAGCACTTCATAATTCCCAAAACTTTCACTGGAATTCTTAGGATTTCCTTGAAATTTTACTGGAATCCTTCGGAATTTCACTCGAATTTCTTTATAATGTACACCATACTTTACAATGTGTATTCGTCTGTGCAGATGAACCCTTTACACACCATTCCCCTCATCAATGATAACGGATTCATCATATACGAAAGGTAAGACTATCGGCAACATCGCAACACCAACCTAAATCGCCTGCGTTCCGATTCCAGCAACGCCATAATGAAATACCTGGTTGACCAATACGGCAAAGACGACAGCCTGTCGCCCAAAGATCCGAAAAAGGCCGCAATTGTGGACATGAGGCTGTACTTCTGCGCCTGTCACCTGTTTCCCAAGTTCAGACAGTATTACGTAAGATCGTGATGCGCATCCCACAGAGCTTCGATCTAACGAGAGGCGACATTGTTTATTTTTTGAATTTATTTGCCGACAGATAAACAGGTTTGCAGACTAGGAGGTGTGTCTTTTAAAGTAAGCACAATTTTTGGCATAATTGTTTTTTTGTTTTTCTAAGTGTTGGGTGAGACAAGTGCAAATAGTAAATTTGTTCACCTCAGTAGTAGACATCTGTGTTTTAAAAAAGTTTGAACACAAAACTTGTTTCTAGTTTTTTTTTGTATTATTTCAATTGTCAGTTGTCAAAGAACATGAAAGAGCGTTAAGACTAAGACAAATAATAATCAATTCTTCTGCCAACGAACAATCCGAGAGTCTATAGAAATTTATAAGCAACCTAACAATCTTACCCGCGACTCAGATCTTTACCTGTCACCAATGCAGAGTAAAATGCTAGCCAATTTCAGTCAAGCTCTGAAGAAACCAATAGGATGATTGGTGAAAAATTAGCTAGTTCGACTATCACCTAACTTTGCAAACTATGTATTACTAGATGCATAGAGTTTGTAAATTTGAGATAACTGTCCCATCTCGTTAGATCGGAGCTCTCTGCCGCAATCTTGGCGCCTACTTGACCCACGCGCGTCTTACAGATACCGACGATGTTCCAATCAAAGCCGCCTTCGTCCGAGGCCTTGCGAGAGCTGGAGGAAGTGTTGACGATCGCCGACGGGTACCTAAAAGACCAGCCGTGGTTCGCCGGGCACCAAATGACTGTCGCCGACTTTGCCATCGTCTCGTTCGTGGCCACCATCGACGTAAGTCTTAACTTGCGCCACACCTGCGCGGCTTCGGTGCGCAGCAGAGGGGGAACAGTGACAGAACTTAAAAAATTCAAAGTTTGGGATTTCTGGAAAAATTAAATCCTTACTTGATAATATATTTTGATAACAACGTCTGTTCTATTTTTTAAAGTGCCACCTAGTGATGAAAAAACCTCAAAAATACAATTTTCTAAAAATTTTTTCAATTTTTTTCTTCTAAGTCGGTATCTATTCTGTTCTTAATTCTCTAGGAACTTAACTAAGCAAACTATAGTAATTAACGTAATCTAAGTGGACATTTTCAGATGCCCATTTGTTTCGCAGTTTTCAGATGCCCAATTTTGTTTCATATTTTTTAGTTTTTCTCCAGAAAACCAGGCTTTTCCACTTTTTCACAAAGATGAGCAGCGAAGTAGATGCTTAAAGCAGAGTTCGATAACACATAACCACAAACCTTACATTCTGTCTAATAATTTCGACATTAGAGTTATTATGCGTTCCCCCACAAAATATACTTCAGCACAAACTTCCGAAAGCAACACCAGACTTTCCATTGTTGACCTTCCTTACATCTAAAACCAGATTGGCCACTTGTCCAAATATCTCTCAACATTTTCGTCCGTCAAGAATAAATAAATTCCAAAAATGCTTGATTAGAAACTAGAAACAGAACTTGAATTAAACACTTGTTGTAGTGCGCTTTGCAGGTCACTGGATTTTTTGGTTTTAATCTTTTAAGGCCAAACAATATTGACAACTTCAACAGGATCGTCTATTTTTCGAACACCGTGTAGCCCTGTATTTTGCCCTGTGTATTTTGTGTGTTTGTAGGTCTTAAGACCAAGAGAGAAAGTACCTTAGTACTATACGCGTATACTAAAGAATGGCTGGTTTCTGATGAATCTGATGTCACGTCTGACAAGTCATGTACTGAAAATCCTACTTAACATCATCCGCTCTCGTAAATTCAGAAGAAAACATGAGCATGATGTCTATTCAGGTCCTGATACAGATGGCCAGGGACGTAAGTTGCGATGGGTACACTTGTTTTGGTTAGTTTCGAGAAGCAGTTCGACAAGGAGCAACACCACAAATTATTTCAAATACTAATGGACTCTGGTATAGATGGCAAAATCTGGGAGCGACTATGCATATAGACAACGAAACCTCCCAAGAATCCGGAGTACGCCAGGGATGCATATTATCACCAATTCTATTCAATATTTACTACGAAATACTATTTAGACAAGGGCTTAGTGAAACAGAGGAAGGCATTAAGATCAATGGAGAGACCATCAATAATTAGACCGTGTAGTGGGAGGCATGTAATATGTATGGTATGAGGCGCAACTGCGGGAAGACCAAGTCGTATAACACATACGGAAAATGTAATATAGGAACACTGGGGAAAAGAGAATGTGCGCGAAGGGTCATTTTCTGGTAGTAGCAGCTCCAATTTATCATAATCAATTTATTTTATCATAATTTTTTTAGTTAAATATTCGCATATATTATTATTAGTGGAAGCAAGATGAACAATCTATTTTATTCTGGCTGGTATTTCATTGTCGACTATAACATAGAATAGAATAGAATGTATCGACCACGTTTTGCTCTTACAATTATGGCAAGTCATAAATACAATAAGTAAAAAAAATTGTATATAAAAAACAAGTCAATGAATAAATTATATGAAAGTGTGTTACTTATATAAAACAGTGTATAATACATAAGAACAAGACAGTGTATATAACAAAGTACAGGACGTTTATATAAATATATAGAATATAATATAGAATCATAGAAAGTCATTGCACAGTCACACAGCTCACAGACGCTTCTTTGACTTCAGTCACAGAGGGTGTACTCATGTATTCCGCGACCGAGTAAAAGCAGTGCCTTTTAAGAAAGGTTAAGACGCTTTTTTTTTAATTTTCTATTACTTAAAACTTTCACGTTAGCTGGTAGTTTATCGTACAAGTTTAAGTTTAGTGAATATTTTTGACTGTATTTTTGAATCTTGAACCGCGAAGTAGCTTGTTATTTCTAATAATTGATAATAAATATACAGACAAGGAAGTGGCATAACTTCCAACTTCTTAAAAATTGGTCGACAGCGTTCCGGATGACCTGCACCGGCAATCAAACGAACAACTTTCTTTCGGAGTTAAATTAAATTCATTGAGTGAAAGAGTACTTGAAGGGTCACTTTTTTTATAACAATTTATCTCTGGCTTCAGTTATCAAAAGTTTCTTTTTTTGAATTTACGATTTTTTTTGTATTTACTGTGAAAAGATTTATAAATAAGTTAATATTCTGGCTTTTTAGTTGTATCAGCAATGGTTTTTATCGCTGTTAACTTATTTCTCCTTTGCTTTATGTCATTAGTAAACCAATCCACTGGTGACCTTCTGCTCTCATATTTTTTTAGGGGAATGTTTTGATGTTTTGATGACTATTTCTTCAACATCATTTGACAGGTAGAAATTCTCCCATGAAATGTCATTTAAACATTTTCGATTCCTGTACCATTAATTTTTCTTCTAGATATTTGTCTAGTGAAAATTTGTTTTACCTTTTTCATGGAAATCAGTCGACCATAATGGTCGGACAAACAGGGGTCAATAATACTTGTCTTATATAAAGTTTCATCAATATTAGGCAGGTCGCTGTTGTTGCAGTGACCCTTGATTTATTGTAAACCGAAAACTACCTAAAATACACAGGAAACCCGTAAATTGTTGGAGAATACCTTAAAGTTAATACTGAAGTCACCCAATATTGATATAGATATAGAGATACTATACTATACATAACAATTTTGGAATTTTGGAATGTCACAGGCCGCCGGCGGTGTCGACTTGGCAGCCTACCCAGAGATACTTCAATGGTACCAAAGGGCCAGATCTTCGATGGCAGGTTTCGGATACGACGAAGTCATCAGGCATGGCGCCGCCATATTCGCAGAGGCCTACAAGAACAAACTGAACAGCATTTAAACCACATAGCGTCGCTTTTACGTGTAACAATACTAGTACAAAGTTCTTCTTCTTTTTTGCGATGGGCATTAGTACAGTATCAGTCACTTTCGGTTAGTTTTGTTAGTCGCGCACCGCGTTCTACGTGTTTTCCGTAGCGAATTACAATGAAAATGTCGTAACCTTAGCTAAAAGTAGCGATTCGATGTTAGGTCATGAAAATTTTTTCAGAGCGCATTTCAATTAACATAGTTAAGAGTTTGTGTGAACAAGCAACATCCAACTAACGTTAGGACGTACCCTGTCTTACTGATAAGCGACGACGCACCCTAGATGTAAGATGTTTGCCTTTGTGTATAGCGAAATGTTGTGTCAGCACCGACACCAGAGTGTTTAGGTAGACAACCACCACCCGAGTGTTATTTTGTAGTAATAAACTCTGGCACCGAGCAGAACGTACATTTCAATTACCCAAACCCATTCCGAAAGAAAGGCAATGTAGGAAAGAAAAGAGACTTTTTATAAAGTCGTAAAACTATCTCAATCACTATCTCAAAGAAAAAAAGGTAAAGTCGATGGTTTCTCGACATATTGATTTTTAAACGCATTGGAAAGGTGACGATAAAGTCGATAGTTTATCGATATTTTGCTTTTGGGACAGAACTCACAATATCGTTTCTTTATCAATAACATAGATATTTCGTTATTTCAATGTTACATAGTTTATAGTTGTCGATAGTTTATAGTTGTTTTGATTTTTGAAAAGTCGTTGGTTTATCGACATATTGATTTTTAAACGCCATGGAAAGGTGACGATAAAGTCGATAGTTTATCGATATTTTGCTTTTGGAACAGAACTCACAATATCGTTTCTTTATCAATAACATAGATATTTCGTTATTTCAATGTTACATAGTTTATAGTTGTCGATAGTTTATAGTTGTTTTGATTTTTGAAAAGTCGTTGGTTTATCGACATATTGATTTTTAAACGCCATGGAAAGGTGACGATACAGTCGATAGTTTATCGATATTTTGCTTTTGCAACAGAACTCACAATATCGTTTCTTTATCAATAACATAGATATTTCGTAATTTCAACGTCATATAGTCGATGTCGATAGTTTATAGTTGTTTTGATTTTTGAAAAGTCGCTGGTTTATCAACACATTGATTTTTAAACGCCATGGAAAGGTGACGATAAAGTCGATAGTTTATCGATATTTTGCTTTTGGAACAGAACTCACAATATCGTTTCTTTATCAATAACATAGATATTTCGTTATTTCAATGTTACATAGTTTATAGTTGTCGATAGTTTATAGTTGTTTTGATTTTTGAAAAGTCGTTGGTTTATCGACATATTGATTTTTAAACGCCATGGAAAGGTGACGATACAGTCGATAGTTTATCGATATTTTGCTTTTGCAACAGAACTCACAATATCGTTTCTTTATCAATAACATAGATATTTCGTAATTTCAACGTCATATAGTCGATGTCGATAGTTTATAGTTGTTTTGATTTTTGAAAAGTCGTTGGCTTATCGCCATATTGATTTTTAAACGCCATGGAAAGGTGACGATAAAGTCGATAGTTTATCGATATTTTGCTTTTGGAACAGAACTCACAATATCGTTTCTTTATCAATAACATAGATATTTCGTTATTTCAATGTTACATAGTTTATAGTTGTCGATAGTTTATAGTTGTTTTGATTTTTGAAAAGTCGTTGGTTTATCGACATATTGATTTTTAAACGCCATGGAAAGGTGACGATACAGTCGATAGTTTATCGATATTTTGCTTTTGCAACAGAACTCACAATATCGTTTCTTTATCAATAACATAGATATTTCGTAATTTCAACGTCATATAGTCGATGTCGATAGTTTATAGTTGTTTTGATTTTTGAAAAGTCGCTGGTTTAGCAACATATTGGTTTTTAAACGCCATGGAAAGGTGACGATAAAGTCGATAGTTTATCGATATTTTGCTTTTGGAACAGAACTCACAATATCGTTTCTTTATCAATAACATAGATATTTCGTTATTTCAATGTTACATAGTTTATAGTTGTCGATAGTTTATAGTTGTTTTGATTTTTGAAAAGTCGTTGGTTTATCGACATATTGATTTTTAAACGCCATGGAAAGGTGACGATACAGTCGATAGTTTATCGATATTTTGCTTTTGCAACAGAACTCACAATATCGTTTCTTTAGCAATAACATAGATATTTCGTAATTTCAACGTCATATAGTCGATGTCGATAGTTTATAGTTGTCTTGATTTTTGAAAAGTCGTTGGCTTATCGCCATATTGATTTTTAAACGCCATGGAAAGGTGACGATAAAGTCGATAGTTTATCGATATTTTGCTTTTGGAACAGAACTCACAATATCGTTTCTTTATCAATAACATAGATATTTCGTTATTTCAATGTTACATAGTTTATAGTTGTCGATAGTTTATAGTTGTTTTGATTTTTGAAAAGTCGTTGGTTTATCGACATATTGATTTTTAAACGCCATGGAAAGGTGACGATACAGTCGATAGTTTATCGATATTTTGCTTTTGCAACAGAACTCACAATACCGTTTCTTTATCAATAACATAGATATTTCGTTATTTCAATGTTACATAGTTTATAGTTGTCGATAGTTTATAGTTGTTTTGATTTTTGAACTGAGATAACAATAACGAATAGATCGATTATTTTTAACAACAGTTTAACAGTTTTTTAACAAAACGTAGAATATCGTTTCTTTATTAATAGCATAGTTTTGGTTAGTGTACAGGTACAGTGTCGTTTTTCAGATATTTATTTATAAAGTCGACAGTTAATAATATTTTTATTTTCGTGAGGAGGTAACAACAAAAATTAAAATCGATTGTTAATTAATAATTAAAAGATTTTGGTTATTTTAATACCATATAAAGGCATCAATACATTCGATATCGATTCATAATATATATAAAATGCATCGATATTTTAATTTTGGAACAGAGGGAACAATCTTTTTCAATAATATAGATATTTGTTTTTTTTTAATACCATGTATACAGCCGTTGGTATATCACAATTTCCTTTGTGGATCAGATGTAACAATCCGTGTTTTCGTTTTTAAACCGAGGTAGCAATAACATAAATAATGTAGGTATATCGATTTCTTTGAAAACATGAAATATAAATAGAGACAAGTAATGAAAACGGTTTTGTATTAAAATTAATAAACCTAAGTAGAGAATATAAAACACAACGCCGCCTATATCATTACCAGCAGAAATTATAACCTAAACAAATGTAGAACTGCAGTTTAAACATTTTTTAGTTTTGGTTAGTTGTACAAAAAAAACATTTTTTCCGCAAAAAAATTAAGAACTTCACTTTAACGTTGATTATTATGCTGACATGCTTTAAATAAATAATATTAATATTATTAATATTATAAGTATTATAATGAATATTAATAAATAAAATTCATACGTAGGATCAAACTCTTTTGTATTTAACTCCTTTTCCTTAGTGTCCTACTTATTGAGATAAGGTTTAGGAGCATCTGTTAGTTACTGTTTCGGAACCTTGCAAATATTATGTATTATTTTAAGGATAGAAATAAAGCAACGAATCTATCGAATTAATTAAAAACAAAACGCATAACATTTACACGTTTTATTGAAGCTAATTATTTAGGATAATATACCCCATAATACATACCATCAAGTTCAGTTAAAGCCTAAGCGAAGTGACCTCTGTGCGGCGTTTTCCGAAAATCTCAGTTCAACCGTAAACGGTTCAAAACATTCTCCCGCAAAATAAGACATTGATTTTACGCCCACCGCGGAGCCTCGCTCGCAGCATCTACTTTCACTCGCGTAATTCGGCTACTCGCCCATAGATGGCGCCACGCGTTGAAATCGCTATCGTGAAGATCTCGAGCAATAACGATATACCGACGTGAATTTAATTAAAAATGGGAAGGGGAACCTACTTCGGGAAGCAGCCGCGTAATCTAAACTCTCAGATATTGATAAACGCCTCCAGGTATCAAGGGTTATAATTCAAACTTTCAGCCGCGCCCTCAAATTCACCCCACATCCCTGTAATAAATTATACAGTTATGCTTCAACCAGAAATATAGTGCTTTTACAACGGAACCCTTGATTAAGTTTGGTTACTGCTTATTACTCCAAATATCGCAGCCCCTATAGAGGACCCTTACCTACACAACAAGCGGGATAAAAGTATGTTTTTCAATATTTTTCGCCGAGCAATTCTTGAAACGTGTACATAAAAAAAATAGTAATAATTTATTACGGTCTATTTATTTATTTATTTATTTATTTATATGTCACAGGCCATTCAACATGCAGAAGCAGCTACCCAATTACAGAATAGAAATGTTTTTTTTGTATGCTTTCTATTCTGATGATATATTTACTATAAATAGGATTCCAAACTGTGGATGAGTACTGTAGTACAGATCTTATCATGCTATTATAGACGATTATTACTGATGCTTGTTGAATGCTTTGGTTGTTCTCAAAATGAAGCCAACATTTTTTGACAGTATGAATCAAGAACAATTTTACTCGTTTAACTTGTTTCCGCTGTTTATTGTCAAGCATTAAGTTAATATCTATAAAATCATTTTCCCCTGTAAATAGATCGTATCGACTTTTTTCAAGATTTAAGAATAATCTATGGTTTCTACAATAATCAGCAAATCTGTCAAGATCGCTCTGAAGCTCTAATAAATCGAAATGTGGACGAATTTCTTTTTTTACCTTTAAATCGTCGGCAAAAGAAGCATAAACACAAAGCGGGAAACAAAGGCCAACATCGAAAACAAAAATATTAAACAGTAAAGGGACCCAGATGAGATCCCTGGGGGGCACCCGAAATTGTTTACCATTGACAACAACAAACTGATTTATTTCTGTAATATAGCTTTGCAATATAGCTTTACATTTCTACATAGTATCGTTATTAATATACAAAATAAATTAAATATAATAATAATATAGTATCAGTCACTTAAAAATTCCTGCTGTTGTCACCTAGTTCCATGATCAACTTCGCCACTAATCGTTCTCGATAAAAAATGTCTTCTTTTATTACCCGTTTTTCACACAACATACAGTGATATGGCAAGATTTCATGGCTATTTTGTTATGCTATCTAATGGATTTTGATGTCCAGAAACTCTCCTCAAAATAAAAATCATTTTCGTACAGAAATTCGTTAATTTCTTCTTCATTTGAAGAAGTATTTGGATTTTTCTAATTGACACTTAAATATTGGACGTTCTTCGCAGACAAAAATAAGTGTGAGTTTTCCATGTGAAGCCGTCCAGTACACACTTGTGTCGAACCACATTCCGGCTCATATATGCTGCCTTACCCCGTGACGGAACCTATTGAAAATGGAGGGGCTGGGAGGTCGGGAAAAA